AAATTGAAAGATCGGGATGAAGTTTTTTTTTTTTTTTTTTTTTTTTACCTTCCCATGTTGTTTTCGAGAATGGGTTTGTGAGAATTCTTTTACATTCTCCACCAAACCTTCATTTCTATATGGATTCGTCTCTCTCGTCTGTAAACAACACAACCAAAAAACATGACTGACAACAAATTATTGACAGCGACAACTAACATCTTACATTTTTTTTTATATATGATTCACAATTCTAAATTCTTAGTACATTCATAATTTATTTTGTTCCTATGATATGACACTTTTTTTTTAACCCCAAAAAAAAAATTATGCCTAAATTCAGTGGATTTTATTTTTGGAGTCGAAAGCCATAACCCATGCCACAATTATAATACTACTAACTCTTTACATTAATGAGAAGTCCTTATCAACTCTTGGTTTTAGTGCTTTTTTTCTTATATTATATCAACATGAATTTTAGAAGAAAATAAAAAAAACTTATATAGAAAGTTATGCATTCAAAATTTAAAAACAAAATTCAATCTAAATTGATTTAATTATAAATTTTTATTGTACAGGGAAACCAAAACTTTTGAATGAAAACGATGGAAAGCAAGAAAATAGGCATTGAAGTAAGTAAGAGGAAGAAGCAAACCGACCTTGGAAAGCCCAAAAACAGGGGAGCTTGCAGTGTCATCAAGGCAAGAATGTTTGTTCCGCCGCCCCATATCCTCTTTCCTCTTACTTTTGGCCGCCGCGGCTTTCCCCCCATTGCGCCGTACTGACTGGCAATTCTCCTCAGAATACCCATCCCTCGGCCCCGACGACGCATCCGAAATCATGGACAAATCCCCTTCTTCCTCCTCCTCCTCCTCCTCCTTCCCTCTGCCGCCGTAATCCACTGCACTCGGCCGGAACCTCCCCTCCGTCTCAAACGACTCCTCCAAATACATTGTCCACCCCGATTCACAGGCAGTGTTATTACAATGGGAACCCGAAAAATGACTCATTCTCACAGAGGAAGACAATTACAACAAATTAGAAGGTGGGTTTGGTTAGTTTTATAGAGTAAGGTATTTGGGGGTTGATGATTGGGAAATGTGACCCACCTGGATAGGTAAATGGAAGGCGGCCCCAAAGTATTAATAAACATTGTCCCTTCCCCAAATTATTTTCCTCTCTCCCTCCTTTTCTTTTCACCCTTCCAATCCCAACTATTCAATTTCCATGCCAGATTAAAACACATACACGTGTATCATTTTATATATATATATATAATATATATATTTATTCCCCATAGCCTAGGTCTAAATATTATGCCTCAAATATATGCTCCTTTTTAGAAAACTTTAATGATATTTGAAGTTGTTTGGAGAAAGCTGAATGATACATTTTTAATTAGAAATTAAAATTTCCACAACAAAGAGCATATCTTTTTTGAAAATTTTAATTTCATGCATTTTCACCATCATTTAATGTACATATTTTGGACTGTGGCCGTATACAAGATAGTCTAGTTAGAAATGGTTTTTCCACGCTTTTTCTTAAGATAATAAATATTATATTCCTATAGGTGGTTAAAAAATTGAATACTTTTTTTTATAAAAACCTTTTGGTTTGGTTTGGTTTGGGTGTAATGATTGAGTATGAGATTGAAAAACATGTTTGTAGGATTAAAAAGATAATAAAGTAGGTAACAATAAGATTTAATGCTTGTTTATTAGCTGTATATACGTAAATTTTCCGTAATTCAAACCTTGCCCTCTCTCTACTCTTCAAAACTCTCACATACTTGATATAAATATTTAATTTTACGAAAACATTATAATCATTTAAAAGTATATCTAACAACCCTTTTATATATATATATATATTTTATCATTTGGACCAAATTAATTTTTCTTTAAAAATGTATTCAAATATGTTATAAAATAGAAATAATATATTTTTTGTTAATAAATTTTAACCATTGCTTCTATAGAAAAGAAAATATATTAAAAGTAAAAAATTGAAGACAAAATTGGAAATTGTCCAAATAGTCAAATCGTTGGGTGTATTTTTCCATACAATTTTACCCAATCCGAGCGATCACTAGAATCATAGGATGGATACGGAGATTTTAAAGAGGACGCAATTCTGTTGTTTATTATTTAATTATTATTATTATTTTAAATTATTGGACTATTTTTAGTAAATAGTTATTGTACTTTTCAATATTTTTCTTTTCTTTAAAAAAATAATTCAATAATTAAAAACATTTTTATCATCGCGGAAATGAATTAATAAATCATAAAGAGCTATAAATTATAAATTGGAGATGGCATAATAAATAAATCTTATTCAATTACTTTATTGTTACATGTAATAATTTTTCTTCATCATCTTCATGATTCTCACTCATGGCTTACCCAACTATTTTTAATTCTCATTCATACATATTTTTCTAAACTTTTGAATTTGACTTCTCAATTTTACCATAAATTTAAGTTTAAGATTTAACGAAGAAATTAAAAATTTAAGATTAAAATTGACCAATACCAAACCGAACATAGACATAAAATATAAATTTACTATTTTCCTCCCTATATGTATAGGCACATGGGAGGTAATAGTAAATTTAGAATAAGAAATAAATATATTAAGACATCGAGATCGAGTCAAAATAAAGTTATAAAGTAATTTTGAATTATTACAAATTAGATTATTAACTCAACCACCTTTAACTTTGTGTGCAAGAGATTTGTGGTGAAGATAAATTGTGTATTTATATATATAAGTTAGTTATTACCCACAGTGAAATAAATAAATTAAATGGTTAGAAATTATATGATTAAACCACCGAACATGTCGTTATCATCAAATCTTAATAAAAATCAACCACATGATGACAACCCATTGATGTCTTTATCAATAATAAAGAAACTATCGTTGTCTCATATCATATACTATGCCATGTCATTAAATGTCGCATTTATCATTAAAGAAAATGATGAATACAAGTTATTTAATAATATAAACTATTGCTTGGAAAGATATATTCCGATGAAAAGAGGACAAAATTGAGCACATTTGGTGGCCATGCATCACACTCTTCCAATAATTGTATTCTTTTTTTTTTTTTAATGCAAAAATTCAATTATTTAGATGCATTTACAATTTCAAACTACGAGAAATGACAAAAATATTATTGTTTTTTTCTTCTTAATTTTTATATAAATAACAATTATAATACAAAAATAGTTTTCAGTAATCTTCCCACCCTCATCGATCTGAAGTTGGCATATTAATTGAAGATGTTGATGGAAAAGTTCTTACACCTAAAATAGTGATTTTTACAATGTACTAATCTTATCAAATAAATAAATAATATTTTTTAAATTTAAAAAATAGTTTTTTAGTGAATCTAAAAGATTATATATAAAAAAAAAAAAAAAATTGAATGCCGTTTTCTTTATAATAAGAAGGCTTGCATGCATGATAAAGAGTAGGAATTTATTTTATTTTTGAATTAAAAATCAGTGTAATTGACCAACCAGAGAATATATCCTTCTAAAAGAGTAAGAATATATATATTTTTTAATTCATTTAGTACTAGTAGCCCCCACGACCCTTCAATAAATATTAAATAATATTGACTGTTTAAATAATTTGTTTAAATTTTGATTCTCTATCACTCACTTTCACTTTCAATAAATAGATGAAATAGACACCATCTAACGTACATTTAATTTCATAGGTTAAATCATCATTTAAAATGACCAGACTGAGTACAAAATTGGATATGAAAAAAGAAAAGAAAAGAAAAGAAATGAAAAAACTATTTAAAACGATGATTATTGCACGAGCGTGAAAAAATAAAAATAAAAATAAAAAAGAGAGAGAGGAACATGTTGGCAAATTTCTTGGGGAGGAAATAAAAGGAGATATAGTAGTACATTTGAATATCTTTGATAGGGTCCATTTCCCTGCCCTCCTAACTTCTTGATGGACCATTTTCAGAAACAAAACAAATTAAATTAATGGACCAAACTCACTATTGTGGAGTGTAGGGCATTGAATCCGATGTAACCATTCTAATAAAAAATATATATAATATATTACTATCATTATTATATTCACTATCCTCTTATATTTGAATATTTTAGAGTTTTTAGATTTTTTTTTTCAGCTTATATTTGAATGTTTTGTTGGATTTATTGAATGTTGTTGATATATAAAATTTTGGGTATATTGCATGGTCTTAATTAAATTGGTTGGAAAATCCAATCCGGACCAAATGGATCACCAATAATTCTAAACACTGTTGCCATGACAGGTTTCTCTAAAGTATCTCAGGGATTAAATCATTATTAACAATCATTATTTCTTTTCAAAGTCAAAGTCAAACATGTTTCTTCCTCTTTGATTTTAAAGAGAAAAAAATCTTTTTTTATTTTCTTTAAAAAATAAAATTTGAGCATATGTTTAGAAGTAGAACTTAGAAGGAAACAATTTTGAACTATTTAATAAAAAAAAAAAAATTAAGAATTCTAAAAATAAATAAAGTACGAAATAGGTCTAATAGGGGTCATGGTTTGTTTAATAATGACTTTTCAAATTAATTTTCATAATTAAATAAAATAATTCTTGAATTTTAAAAAATATTGAATATGTCAATAATGTATTAGATATAAAATTAAAAAGATTATATGAATATTCAAATTTATTGAAATTTGTTAGGTTCATTAGATATGCCGAACAAAGTGTAGTTAGTAATATGCTCAATTGCTCAATAACAGTACGACATAAAATGAGGGAGAATCTACTTAATAAAACTCCATAAAATGCCCAACACTTTGTGATCATATCCATCAATCCAAGGATTCAAACATGAACATAAATCACAATTATGGTGAAATGTGTGGTTTTTATCAGTTTGTTTAAGTCCACTGTCCTATACAATATCTAGTGAGTACTCCATCTTTCATCTGCATATCATCACCATCCACTAGTGGTAACCTAACTTGTATTCAAAGCAGTTCACCAGATAAGAACACAACATGAATATACTATTTCTTCTCTTCTCACTCTGAGAATAGATTCCTAACCTGTTACAAAAAAAAAAAAAAAACAAAATTCAGGACACAGATCCTCCATCAAATCCTACTGAATTGAATTCAAAAGTTTTAAGTTGTTAGAATAGTCTCATAAACTATACCTGTGGGCTTAGATAATGTGGGGGCATAGATCCTTTATTAAATCCCACCACATTGAAGACTATAAATCGTTAGGTAAGTCTAATAATAAGCAGCAATACGTGTGGGCTTAGATATCAATTTAATTCACAACTTGGAAACAAACAACACTTCAACTAGTGGCCTATCATAATATATGTATCTCTCCAGGCTGATTCAGTTCATTTAAATCCTTTGTCCATGTGGCTTCAAGCTGGCCACTGATATGTTATCCTCTAAACTTACCCACACATGTGTTCAACTCAACAGCACTTCATTTATTTGATAGAAGCCCTTTGGATTTGGAGGACGGTCACAAATGGAATGGCTTGTTTTCAAGTGGTTCCAATAAGACATGTCATAGACTTGAAACCGGACACTAAACCTCACTGTTCTGAAATTAAAGCATATGGGGTGGGGGGGAAATGTGGCATAGGATGCCTTCACATGTACAATTGCCCCACTTGAGCAAGCAATTATAAGTAGGCACAAATGTTTGTGCAGCCTACATTACATACTATGCACCCACCACCGTCAATATACTCACCACCAACTCGCACTCACCACAACCATTCAAATTGTCATACTATTTTCACCATTCCATTCAGCAATACTATTAAACCAACCTCCAGTTTTCTCAAACCACTAAATTATCATCCACCACCCTAAAGTTTAAGCGCATAACATTTTCTAAATTATCAATACTTCAACCAGACAGACAACAGATATTGGATACGGTAAGATAATGGAATTAATCACAGAGATAATTAAACCCAAGAAAGGAAATGCTCACCAGATTACCTTTTGAAAGTTCATTCTTCATCACCCAAATCATTCCCACATTCCTCTGTTTTCGGGGAGCCCAACGTTGAAGATTCCGATTGCCTTGACTACAGCCTCTGTAGACACCATTAGTCTTCCCTCTTTCAATTTCAGAACTCACTGAAATACCACTTAATTTGTTTTCCATCTCCTTCATCTCGTGGGTGTACCCGATTTCAGGTCGACATTGACCCTTTGTCCCTTCCTTTTCATCGATTTTTCTTACCCAAACATATTTCCTTCCCCCAGCCTTGCATTCCCTTTCTCGCATTTCCTCCTTCAAGTTCTCCTCAGGTGTTGGTGACGTTCTCTGCATCTCTTCCTTCGGTGCTCTAACGTTCTTCTTGCGACCCTTCCTCCTAGATTTCTTTTCCTTCTCATCTTTCTCCAGCAGAGGCTCGCCTCCATCCTCAGACTTCTTGCACGTCTCCTTCACATTGCGCGGATTACTCGCCGGCTCACCACGATAATACGTCTGAACCTTCCTGCTCCCGCTTCTGCTCCGAGAAGTAGCCTTTATTCGAGGCTTTTGAACCGCCGGCTTCAGATCATCCTTCTCCGCAGGTTCCGTCCGCTGAACCTTCTGTTGCTGTTCTTCCTTCTCTTTCTGAGGAGGATTACTGAAATAGTTGGAGGGTTGAGATGAAATCCCCCGTCCCCATCCTTCCATCGCCAAATGGAACTGTATTCTAAACAGCTGTTGCTTTTTCCATCAATCAGCGAAAAAGACACATCGAGCACCCAAAATCACTGATCAAGAAATCCCAAATTCTGGAAGTATTTATTATTCACCCAATTGAATCTTGGAACGGAAACGGACTGTGACCATTTTTTCAATACCAATTTTGTTACCTAGAGAAGAATGTACGGCCTCAGCTTCAAGCCCAACTGCTTCCCGGTTTTTTTTTACCGAAGAAGGATGAAGCATGGAACTAATCTAACCATATAATTTTATCCACATTTTCAATTTTAATTTTATACCACATTTTTGTTAAATCCTAAAGAATCTACCAATCCATGTAACATTAAAAATAATTAATAAATAAAATATCCCTAAAGGTAAAATAATATACAATATAAATTCGAGCCTCCAGATTCTATCAAACAATTACAAAATACATCCTTTATCATCTTGACAGAGAATGACTAGACAACAACACCATGGAAAAAGCTGCAAACAATGCATATGGATGTAGAATGAGTCAAAGAAGCTACCTTGAAGAGTGAGTTCGAGACTCTCACATGAAGTAGGATGAATCAATACACAACCTTGATATAAAGATCCGTTCCTTTGCATAACTTTTGGAGGCAGGAACAAATATGGTATGGTAAAGTATAATTTTAATCACACTAGTTAAATTGTTATTCGTGCAGTATCGTGCAGGTTCGTCTATGGTAGGGTAAGTTCTTCCAGTTCAAGAGTACGGTCGAAATGCAATGCTATCGATCTCCGAAACCGACGAGAATCTGCTCAAACTCAAAAACGCCTCTGCCGGCGGCATGGAAACCTTGCGCGTATTCAACAAGTTGGTGTTACAGAGACAAAATTTGACCGTGTACGCTCGCGACGAAGCGTTATGTTGTGTAGTATGTCTTTATGCGGATCCGAAACATGAAGCTAGGGTTATTGTTTGGACTTTCAACAACCGGCTTTGCATATTCTCAGCTTCTTAGTATGAGTTTGTCCGGTTTCGAAAAGTAAATGCCAATTGTAACTTAGTTTACATCGGAGTTCCAGTTGGCAAATGTATTTCTTCTCGTCGTATTATGTTTCCCACTTGCATCGTGTTTGTCGTTTGATCCTATATCTCTTCACGATTTTGGAACCTGAGTCAAGGAGTAGTAACAATGGCGCCGAGGGAGGAGGAGGACTCGAGGATGGAGAAGCTCGAATCAGCATGCTCGGATTTGAAAATCCTCCTCCAAGCCTCGACGGGATTGAACGATAGCCTAGAGAGGATGGAGAAGAATCTTGATTCAATCGACGAATCGCTCGCGACAGCGTCGAGAAGCATAATACCTCTACAATCTTTGGCGATGACGACAAAAGCCCTCGAAACGAGAATCAATCGTGCAGCTTCGCCTGCTCTCGTTCTGCTCGATTCCTTTAAGCGATCCGAGTTTCTCCAACGCAAGATTCTCGCGATCTTCGCCAATTTATCGGTGGAAAAATTGGCACAGGAACGTCTGAAGAAGCTGATCAAACTAGTAAACTGTGTGGATAGACTGAATGCATCCATAAGCTTGATTAGCCAAGAGGGGGAATCGGTGATCCAGAAACTTCAAGAGGTGGTAGAGTTCTTGAGTAGGACGAAGGCTGCTGATTCACAGCGGACACACAGACTGAAAGAGACGATGATCACTCTCAAAGCTCTATACGAAACAGAAATTGACGACATGAAGTTTGAGGGGTTGCTTGACGAAGCTTTGCTGAACCTGCAAGATGAATTTGAAAACATATTAAAGAATCTAAAGCGTCAAAGAAAACCCAAGTTTGAAGATGGTGAAGCAGAAAAAGAAGGTGAAGCAGTGGGGTCTGAAATGGGTACCGAGTTGGAGGTCGAAGCTGCCAAACGAATTTCTGAAACCCTCGCTGCCAACGATTGTTTGGATATTTGCATCAATATTTACGTCAAGGTAAATAACATATTTTCCTTTTCTTTTTCCTTTTATTAAGAAAAAATTGCAGCCAAATTCTGTAACTAGCGTTCAAAAATCAGGTTAGATACAGAAGAGCAGCTACGACATTGATGCGGCTGAATCCAGTCTATCTCAAAACATACACTCCAGAAGAAATTGACAGAATGGAGTGGGAAAAATTGGAGACAGCAATTTCTCTGTGGATTGAACACTTCAAGGTCGCGGCCACGAGCGTGTTGGTTTCCGAGAAGAAACTCTGTAGCCAGGTCTTAGGCTCAATCATGGATGGACTGATGTGGCCTGAATGCTTCGTGAAGATCGCGGACAAAATCATGGCCGTGTTCTTCCGATTTGGGGAAGGCGTCGCCAGAAGTACAAAAGAGCCGCAGAAACTGTTCAAGCTCTTGGACATGTTCGCCTCCATGGAACAACTCAACTCCGAATTCTCTGAGGCATTCGGCGGCGAAGCTGGCACAGAAATTCGCACACGATACAGAGAGCTGGAGAAGCTACTTGTACACGCGTCCAGCAAAGTATTTTGGGACTTCGGCCTTCAAATTGAGGGCAATTCAGATGGCTTTCCTCCTCCAAAAGACGGCTCAGTTCCAAAACTAGTCAGATACGCCGTCAACTACCTCAAATACCTTGCAAGTGACAACTACAGTTTCGCCATGACCAAAGTTCTCCAAATACAGAAATCATGGAAGGGCGGAGTCGTTTTAAAATCGGAAGACGAGGATAATCTCCTCAAAGACGCCTTCTCTAACGTAATGGAAGCCCTACAAAGAAACGTCGAATCCAAAAAATCGCGCTACAGAGACAAAATCCTACCGCATATCTTCTCAATGAACACATACTGGTACATCTACATGCGAATCCGAAACACGGAACTAGGAAGATTTCTAGGAGAACAGTATATGAGAAAGAATTACAAAGCAGTGGCAGAGGAATCGGCTTACACTTACCAAATGCTATGTTGGGAGCCCTTGCTTTCAGTATTGGACATGGAAGACGTGCGATTACCGAACAAGGAAACCGTGGAAGAATTAGCGAAAACAAAAATGGAAGCATTCGTGAAGGCTCTAAGGGAATTCTCACATAAACACGGAACCGCGTATTGCATTCCAGATTTGGATTTGCGGGAGCAGTTGAAAGAGGCAACCCTGAAGATGATACTACCGGCTTACACGGAGTTCTTCAATTTGCACTCGGCTTTGTTGCCGGGGATTGGGAAGTATTATGTGGGCCTAGAGACGATCCATGATTTTGTGGGTCGGGCCTTTGAGTTCGAAAGTGGGAGTGGGAGTGGGAGTGGACCTGGGCCGGGTGGCAAGTTGAAGAGACGGGGTTCAGTGGATCGGATGGCTGAGATATCGTCGGATGGACCAATCTTGGGCGTTTGATTGGAATAGTTAGAGATTGCCAACAGGGATTGATGACCACACAAAAGGATTCTGATGTTTTTAAGGAACTTGGTCGAACATTGAAAATATTCTTCGGTTCATGGATTTTTAAGGATTTTGTCCAAAATGAACCAAAAAAAAATGTATGTTTTATTGTCACACACTATGGTCAAATGAAATAAAATACATATAATCAAGTTTTTGTTTATTAAAAAATATGCAAGGCGACGAAAAATGCAGTTAATTGAAAAGGTTTGTTCGTCCATCTCTTGGAACACTCGTAAATTTGAGTCGGCAGATTACCTCTGACAATCACTTATGGCATCTTCGATTCTGAGAGAATAATTCCTTATTCCAGATTGGATCTTCCCTCACGCACAGGAAACCCCGACTGGAAGTTTATTTGGGTAATTTCATTGGGAAAACTTGGGACCGAATTTTCCGAGGAAATCAATTCATAGAACTGCAAACATGGCGAATCTTAGCTCCGAAATTGACGAAATTGGTTCCTTCTCCTTCACTGACTTCCCGGAAGATGTTCAGTTATGCATCCTCTCCTTCCTCTCCCCCTCCGATATTGCATCTTTCTCTTGCACCTCGAAGAGATTCGTCTCTCTCTGCAGGAATGATAGGAAACTCTGGTTTACTATGTGCGATCGGAGATGGGGTTCCACTACTCAGATCAACAATTGGGGAAAAGGGAAAATCGCTTACAGGTTACTCTATAAAACTCTTCACCAATGGGAGAATCTCATCGGTTTTTGGCGCCGGAGTGGCTCGCCGACCATCGGCGTCTCATCGCCGCCATTGGTGTTCTTCGAATGGGGCCCTGATTTTCTTGCTGGCTCTAGGGTTTCACCGTCAAAGAACGGTACTTACGACGTGTTTAAATCTCCATTTCTATGGATGGGGCTCTCCCCGGAAGCTCAGGCCATGAGTTTCATCGACCCCGATGGACGTTCTGGGTTCGCCGGGAAATTTGGTGATTTAGGAGAATCCGATTTCTCCGATTGCGATTTGATTCCGATAGAATTGAGCTTCATGGGGACAAATCATTTTTCCATTGAGGAAAATCTTACATTGGCTTATCCAAATTCCCCAGAACGAAGGATAAACGGATGCCGCCGAAGTTCCCCAGAAGACAGTTTAGCCGCCGTAACAGATGTGAACGTAGTTGGAAGTGGCTCTCCGGGAAGCTTACTGGACGGATTAATGTCAGAAATTTATCAGCAGTTTGCGAATAGAACCAGCCCGGGAGGGGATAGAGCCTCGAGGAGACAACGGAGAAGGGAGAAGGAAAGGCTAGGAAAGCGGAAGTTGGAAGCAGAGCATTTTGTTAAAATTGTGAATTGCTCGCCCACACCATTGCGGCCAATACAGGGCTTATGGAAGGTGTTGTCCCTCCCTCCCTCCCTCCCTCCCTTGTGTTTATGTACCCTTTTGGGACACTTCTATTTATTTTCTGTTGACATTGATTTCATTCTTGAAATGATATAGCATGGCTTCCTATTTCGTCGTGCAGGGTATCAGTGATGATATGCGCATGGATTTCTATCTTGTTGTATATGATGACATTGGTGGTATTGCCTGTCGGAGAGTTGGGGACTCCTCCGAAGGCCTCTCTAGTTATTCTCCCGTGTTTTGGACATCCAATACTACCTTCTTGGAAGCCCCATTCTCCCTGGAGGAGGAACATTTTCACGACTGCCGAATACATGTTCACCCTCTACCAGCCAATGACATTGATGAGCTAGTGCCTTCAATTGAAAACAAAAGGATCTCTCGCATTCTTCGCGTCAACTCGAGTTATGATCTAGTCCTACCAGACCTGGCTGGAAGTGTTCCGAATCCTCGGAACGTCGAGGGAAGAATATGGCAGTACAGTAACGGGACTTTTGGGTTCGGTTTCCTTAGAGATAATTTTATTATAGATTTGAAGCACATTGCTCGAAATGGTTCGATTCTGGATACTGTGGAATAACTTGTTTGTTGATTCTTCATTTCATTTGATGAGTTCTTTGGCCAACCATAATCTTCATTCAATCTTGTTATGTTGGTTTGAACCCAATTTAGAATATAAACCTTAAAAGAAAGTACTTATAATTATAGGCATCCCTTGGAATTGACAGGACCACGATTCAAATCCACAAACATGAAATATGATGAAAATCAAACAGATCTTGGCGTCTGTTTGAGCATGTTATTTGAATATTTAAGAAACAGCGGGCGAAGAACACACTCTTAAAAGGAGCATCCACAATCAAGCTTCTGAAGCCACCGCTTCGCCATTGATTTTTTCCTTCGATGGTATCTTTTCATGGTCTCCCTCAAGCTGACTCAAGTTTCCTTTCTCCTTGATGAGTTGGATATGGTGGTGCTTGCAGTAAAGTCGCCCCTCATGAGCGATATAGTTGGAAGGGCTGATCGTGCATCCGCCATGGCAGCATTTGAAGCAACTTTTGTGGTATGGAGTTCCATTTACAGTGACCTTCAAACAGAGACCAGTTCATGAAATTAGATCCAGGAAGAACAAAAAAGATTCTGTATATAGTTGTTACCTTTTCTGTTGGATAAACAGTGTTATTACAGCCAAGACATTTATCTCTGGTTCCGCCAAACATGCTAGCTACCTTCTTAGCCGTTGGTTTCTGCTGATGCATTTTCAGATCAAAGGGAGAAATATTAGAAATTCTAACAGGCTCAAGCAATCAGGGAATTACCTCACTATCAACCGGTTTCTCTGGTTTTACGATCTTGGGTGTTCCTAAAAACACAGAAATTAACATGAAAAGTCCGAGAAATCAGATCCATCCAAACAACTTATAATTTGTACCTTCAAAGCTTTTGTCAAGACTGCCAGTCCTCTTAAAGAGCTGATCAAAGTGTGGCCTGCAATAAAGCACTCCCTCAAAGGAATTGTAGTTGCTGAGCTGAAAACAGAGCAACAACTTCAGTTTCCGAGTTCCATCTCCTTCGTTAAACATAGGATAAAAGTTTTACCTTTAGAGTTCCTTTGCAATGGTGGCATCTGAAACAGGCTTTGTGGTAGATGCGGTTGTCGGCGGTCAGCTTGTCGACAAGATAAACGGTTTTTTCGCAAGCCATACATTTCTGGGTTGTGCCTGCAAATGCCATGGGTTGGGAGTGGAAGTGAGCTTTGTTTAGAAGAGTGGGGAGATGAAGCAGAAGGAGAGGATTATATAGATATGATTGATGTCAGTGGGGAAGCAAACAATCATTCCGTTGGATCTTTGGAGCAGACCCAACAACTCGTTTCTTTGATAAAATGTCTCAACCTGTAGCTGTCTTCAAATCAAATCAGTAAAAAAAAAAAAAAAATTAAAGACAAAGAAATCTCAAATTGAATCATGAGGGAGAGGTACGAGCACAATTACTTTATTTAGTATTCCTTCATCATAATTTAAAAATAAAATACATCCTGCTTTTTTTTATTTTGGAAATGGTTTGAAATTTTTTAGTATAATTTGAGAAGTGTTTAAATTACAATTTGATTTCTGTATCATTATGTTCCAACTAAAAAACTTCCTGAATTTAATTGAAATTATACGTGGGACCCTATAGGCTTGTTTTTTAAGTTATTTTTATGAATCTAGTTTTTAGAGTCGGCAATAAGTGGGTAAAAATATATGTAAAAAAAAAATCGAGATAAAAACAATTATGAAGATAGGGTATTGAACCATCAACGTTGAGATGGTATGATATTCTTTTTTTTTTAGGAATAAACAGTCTAAATCCGCTTTCGCCTGTTAGATATTGCCGTCATCCTCACAGTTTTAAAATCGTTGAGAGATCTCACACTTTTATAAGGAACGACTTCGATTAAGGGATTCTCACAATTCCCTCCTCTGGGCAAAGATCTCACACTTTTATAAGAAATGACTTCGATTAATAGATCTCACAATTCGCTCTTCTGGGGAGCTCAACATTCTTGCTGACACACCAACTAGCTAATACCATTTGTAATGATTCAAACTTACTCTATCAGTCTCACAGTTTTAAAACGCATCTATTAAAGACTAATTTTCACTCTTATAATTAATGTTTTGTTCACTTCTCCTTCTCCAACGAATGTGAGATCTCACAATAAAGTTTATGTTAAATCTTAATATGAGGTTCCATCTATTAGAAAAATTATTAAAATAATAATAATAAATAAATAGAGTGATGAGAGGCAGAGGTTGTACCAGTGTGCGTTCCTTGAAAAAACAGAAAGAAAGAATGGAGATGGGATTTGCTGTAAAGGAAGGATGGAAACAAGAGGGGTACATAAGATTGAAAAGCAAAGGCAACAGTTTTAGTTACCTAATGGCTCAGCCTCAGCCTCAGCAGGTGGCCTGCCTGCCTCCCAACTTCGAAAAGCTTCTTTTCTTCATCATTACAGTGACACTTTCTTCATTTGTAAGCCTCAACATTAAAGCTATTGAAAGAATATCACAAACCAACAACGACCCATCATCCTCCTATCAATATTATACTCCAAAATAATGCAATTCCAGAGCTAATAATGTTGCACACAGCTCACCCAGTCAGTGTCCTAAAGAGTTTCCACAAATCAGGTGTATCATACGGGGTTCACCTTATACATTCAGACTAATTTCATAATGTAACGCCTCATCCACAATAGTTGAAGTCAAAGAAATTAGGATATCAAGTAGCATCATAATTCGAGCTAATCACGGTTAACTCTTTTGCCTTCTCAGTTAACCCACTTACTCAAGTCATAATTGTTATTCAATCAGACTTTACCATAATTGAATATGAATCATTAATCATTAATCATATAATTCATATTTCATATCATAATTGCTTAGGGTTAACTGTAAAGATTAGCTGCCATGCACCAAAAGGAGCAGGAGCAGATGATTGAAAAGGTTTTGCATGCAAAATAGAAAATATAAGGAAAAAATAAGATCTCAGGTCTAGCAAAACGAATACTTTTATATCTCCTCTCTGTTAATAAGTTAGCTCGAGCCGGTTTCTTAAACATTTATACAAAATTTTCAGAGGCCAAGGGATTATAATGTGGGCCTGTGGGAGAGAGAAGATACCAGGACGAATATGATGCAACACAGCATCCTGCAATATGAGGGGAGGCATCACATTGTAGAATTTTGTGCAAGAAACAGAAGTCAGATAGTCATTACAAATTGCAGAAAGACTATTTGCGGCTGCAAGAGGTGCAAGTAATGCCAGGAGCAAACTTTAAGCTTTCACTAAGGCAAGCTGCAGACCCAACTTCACCTATTCCTGCGAGATTGATTCATAATCACCATTCACGAGACCATAATGAGCCACAGAACTATGATTACCAATTTCCTAAGATTACGAATATTGATAGAATACAAAATGAGAAAACAGAACCAATTTTCTCCAACTACCATACTTTCATTAGCTGATCACTAACCTTGAACCTCTTGCGCCGTGAATCATCAGGAATGGAGCCAGAATATCGTTGTCTTCTCAAGGCCTCACTCTTAAATTGCCCTGCTGCCATTTCCTGCATTCTGCTGCCATCACCCTGTTGTGGATTTCTTGAGTGTTGGGTAAAGCCATCCTTGTCCCATGTAACCTCATAATCAGCCCAGAGGCGAGATCCTTGCTGCAGTAGCCATTTTGAGTTAGCATTAAGAAGTCTTCCTCAACCCAAAAGGAGATTACAAAAAAAACTCATATAATAGTGCAAAATGTAGAAAGCACACAGTTACAAAGAGGATTGAATTTATGTCATAATCCTCCCTAACTTCATTCATCAATGATATTGGTTGATTCTGACATGTGAGAGAGCATGTAGTTGAAGACATTTCATTCAGGGTTCGGACTAATAAAAATGATAATGTTCATCTTGATCTTACCATCATACTTGCTTACACTACCTAAACCATTTTCACACGTATCATGATACAAATGACCTCTATCTATCTTACATTACAACCGTGGGTTAGTTGTGATTTGTCCTTATACATTGGAGAAGAGTGCTATTTCAATCTTATGGTTACAAAAGAGGTGAAGAGAAAATTAGCCAAGCAACTCCAAATGACTTGATTATAAAATAGAGAGGTAAATTCCAACCTTCTGCAATGAGCGACCAGACAGCACCTTTAGAGCATTGTAAAAGTCCCTGTGTTTCTCAAACTGAACTGTTATTTTACAGTGTAAGCCTGAAATTATGTCTTCTGCATCCTCATTGCCGTCCTTACCAAAAGCATCATCGACAGCAATATTTAGGTTCCTGTAGAGTGTATATTAAAGGGAAAAACATGCTGATGATGAGTCAAAATAAAACTAAACATAAGAAGAACCATACGTAGCTAAAATGGAGGTCATCAATTTCTAATGCTGCAATGCAATACATGCATTATTTCACACCTAAGCTCAGAAGTACAATGTAGATTGTTGGATGATGAAAGTCCCACATCGGATAATTTAGGGAATGGTCATGGGTTTATAATCTAAGAATACACTCTTCATTGGTATGAGGCCTTTTGGGAAGCCCAAAGCAAAGCCATGAGAGCTTATGCTCAAAGTGGACAATATCATACCATTGTGGAGAGTCGTGTTCGTCTAACATGGTATCAGAGCCATGCCCTAAACTTAGCCGTGCCAATAGATTGGCAAATCCTCAAATGTCGAACAAAGGACTCCAAAAAGGAGTCAAGCCTCGATTAAGGGGAGGCGTGCTTTGTTCGAGGGGAGGTGTTGGATGATGAAAGTCCCACATCGGTTAATTTAGGGAATGGTCATGGGTTTATAATCTAAGAATACACTCTTCATTGGGGTGAGGCCTTTTGGGAAGCCCAAAGCAAAGCCATGAGAGCTTATGCTCAAAGTGGACAATATCATACCATTGTGGAGAGTCGTGTTCGTCTAACATGTTGGATGATGAAAGTCCCACATCGGATAATTTAGGGAATGGTCATGGGTTTATAATCTAAGAATACACTCTTCATTGGTATGAGGCCTTTTGAGAAGCCCAAAGCAAAGCCATGAGAGCTTATGCTCAAAGTGGACAATATCATACCATTGTGGAGAGTCGTGTTCGTCTAACATGGTATCAGAGTCATGCCCTAAACTTAGCCGTGCCAATAGATTGGCAAATCCTCAAATGTCGAACAAAGGACTCCAAAAAGGAGTCAAGCCTCCTTGAAGGTACGAAGGCAGTCAAAAATGACTAAGACTCCAAAGGAGTCAAGCCTCGATTAAGGGGAGGCGTGCTTTGTTCGAGGGGAGGTGTTGGATGATGAAAGTCCCACATCGGTTAATTTAGGGAATGGTCATGGGTTTATAATCTAAGAATACACTCTTCATTGGTATGAGGCCTTTTGGGAAGCCCAAAGCAAAGCCATGAGAGCTTATACTCAAAGTGGACAATATCATACCATTGTGGAGAGTCGTGTTCGTCTAACATGGTATCAGAGCCATGCCCTAAACTTGGCCGTGCCAATAGATTGGCAAATCCTCAAATGTTGAACAAAGGACTCCAAAAAGGAGTCAAGCCTCCTTGAAGGTACGAAGGCAGTCAAAAATGACTAAGACTCCAAAGGAGTCAAGCCTCGATTAAGGGGAGGCGTGCTTTGTTCGAGGGGAGGTGTTGGATGATGAAAGTCCCACATCGGTTAATTTAGGGAATGGTCATGGGTTTATAATCTAAGAATACACTCTTCATTGGTATGAGGCCTTTTGGGAAGCCCAAAGCAAAGCCATGAGAGCTTATGCTCAAAGTGGACAATATCATACCATTGTAGAGAGTCGTGTTCGTCTAACATAGATGACCTCTTGGTTCCTACAGTATTAGTGCAGAGACGCCAATACCATTATACAACGAAGGAGTTCATCGAATTGAGCTTGGCACCAATTTGGAAGAAGATGAAGCAAATGGTCAAACTATAAATGACATGCAAAATAAATCAGAGGCAAAACCTTATCTTTCCAAATGTAGAAAAGATGGTATGTGTGACCAACATGGAGGGCTTTGACGAAACCCGAGGCTCGGCAAACCACCTTGATGGAGCACCCCTCAAGGTAATGGTATCAGGTCCTTGGTTCCCATTTCTCGAATATCCTAAGGCAAATTCAGGACAATCACAGACCAAAGCTTACTGCGTAAACACCATTAACAATTTAAAGGACGCTGAAATTCGCTTACCACGATTCCCAAATGCGTAAAAATCCCCCCAAGCCGTCTTCATTGCCTCAAAATTATCAGATTCCGGTATAACGACTGTGAGTTTGAATTTGAACCCCTCAAGATTCAGCTCAATCCCATCCAATTTCTCAACCAGGAATCGCCTCCAATCCAAAAACTTCTTCTCCAACACCGTGATTTCCTCTTCCTCCTCCTCATACCTCTTGTAAGCACTTTTCAAAAATCCAAGATCTCGCACGAAGAGAGTACCGCGAGCAAGTGGGTCTTCGCGCTTGCGTGTCTTAACTTCTTTAATGCGTTTGATCACCAAATCCTCCTCAGGGACAATTACCGGAACCGAAAGCGAAGTCTTGAGAAAGTCAATGAGAGCTCGCTTCAACTTCCACTCATCAAGGGATTTACTCACTGAAGGGCTCGACGGATAGACTGTGAAGTTGAGTCTCAGACGCGGCACCAGCTTAAGACCACTCTCCATCTCTAACGTTTCTGTGGGAGGTAGCAACTCCAACGGTTTGACCGTCATTCTCGGTCCCCTCTCTCTCTTCACAGACCTGTCACTGTTACTAAATTAGGGTTTCGCTTAGCTCCTCCGCCACACCAACGACCAACGAGAAGAACGATAGCCTACGCCACGCCGTCAGGGGTTGGATTCAGCTCCGGCTACTATAGAGTATTTTAGGCCTTTTTATTCATTTCTTTTTTTCGAAGGAGCGATATGTTTTAATTATAATTCGAATTCACTTTTATCTTTGAATTTTAAAATTCGTTCTAAAATATCTACGCTAATATGTGGAAATATTGAACTAAAATTGCGTATCGACGATACGACACCGTATAGATAGAAATCTTATCCGTAACGGAAAAGCGGATAATGCCATGGCACTGTCAGATAACGTCGGGTGTTGTACAGTAAATCCTAACCGTCCAATAAAATACGAATTCCAAAAAAGTAAAATTGGTAGTGAAAATACCGATTGGAGATCTTGGAAAAAACCTGCAAGTGCAAGCAAAGCGATGGGGCAATGCGCAAGTTGCCTCGACGAAGGCCAAGAGCAAGAGAGGAAGGAGGAAGAAAGATTGGCCTCCGTCGAAGCTCGCGCCAAAGCTGCTGAAGCCGCTCAGAAAAGGTAATTTCCTCTCCCCCTCACCTTTTTAACTTTCTTTCATAATTTCTGTACATGTTCCTTCTTGTTCAATTGGAACAGCTGATCATAATGATTAGGGCTTTCGTTTGATCCTTATGTTTTAAAGTAGATTTCGAAAAAATGAGTTTCGTTTTTTAAAAATACACTTTTGGTACGTTAATTGATTATTCATGCCAAGGATATAACATCCATCGTTAACTAGAAATGAGAATTTCAAATTAGGAACTATGATGGGAATCCTCCATGTTTTTATGCTGAAAAATGATATTAAATACTTGCAGGCAAGAAGAATTTGAAAAATCTGCTGCAGGAAGGGCTGCACGTGCTCAGTTGGCCGCAAATGCAAAGCAATCTGCTAACACTAACAAGGGAGAACCAGTTCTTAAGGTCATTATACTTTCACTCATAGAAGTTGTTTCACGCTATTTCTTGGAGCATTTCGATGATTTTAAAACTTCCTTATTGTTTTTTGTGGATGCAGTGGAGTATGGGGTGAGGTCGTGCTCTATTGTCAGCTTCGCTTCTTTTTCGCTGTAAGTGAAATTTGTAAGCACCTATGTATGTTTATCACTGGGAGATTTTGTAGTACTAAGACCCTATGCCTGAATGATCATCCTATATTTTCTTTTTATATCACTTGCTTAAAATTATAATAAGCTTTTCTTCATGTTATAATAAGCTCCTCTTCATGTAATGTGGTTACAGATTTCACTTGCATTACAATGTAATGAATCTTGTTTGTTTACCTACTGAGAGCAAATTTCATTCGTGCAGTTCTAATGAAAAGGAAAAAATTGTATATTTATCCGCGATCCTGGGCTCCTCTTGTACAAAGCAACTTGTGTATACTCCCAAGTCTCCCAAGGCAGAAGTTATTGAATGGAACTTCAGTCTTGTATTTGTTATTCATGAATCAATGAAACCAAATAAGTGTGCAGACTTATATATTTTTTTACACTGTTCTTCCCTGTAAATTTACTCCATGCTTTGCTCACTTGGTAAAACCTTGTCCATGATGATATCATTATTTGCCAAGATTTTCCGTTGTGCTCCATCGGCTGTTATATACTTTCTCATATCATGGCAGTGATTATGTCGAGTTGAAATGCTTTCGCTATTGTGTTGGATAACTTGTTCACATTCAATAAGTTGCTTGAATTTCTTAGATATGTCAATATTGTTGGATATTGACGTTTACACGTTAATTGATGAGAGCTCAGTTACAAGATCCAAAATTTTAGATAGCGAGTCAATATGGACAATTTTGGCAGGCTTCCAGTTTTTCTAGCTACAGAGTTGCTATCAGAAGTCGGGCCTTGGTGGGTTCCCAACACGGGAAAATGCCTGTGATGTATCCTTTGACATGTCGGGAGGCTTTTCTGATGAGCAGTCATTGCCAGTCAGTCATTTTGGTTCTTGACTTTCATGGTTCAAGCATCACAGATTCACACCCAACAACTTTTATCTTTTGGTTTGCTTTACAAACATTGCTTCGACAATTATCGTACCAACTTTGAATACTTAAATCATGTTATTTTATTATTTTATTGGATGAAACATAACAGAGCTTAAAATTCACTACAATCCCGGCTACTTGCTTGTTTCGATTCCTTTTAGGCATTAATGAAGTTCAAACTAGATTTTGAAGCGGGAAACAAAGTGGATGCTTGAAAAGGAGAAAAACACTGCAACAAAATGTGCTATTTACTCAATAGACTACTAAATCCTTGATTTGTTACACACAATCAGTTGATTTGAACATGCAGAATTTGGAACTGTAAGTCTACCCTAAAATCTGGCCCAGTGTTTGTTCCAACATTCCCTCAGTTTTCAACAGATTATGAGAGGTCAAGGAAAAGAATGGAGAAGGAAAGAAAATTGATGGAATAGGCTGGTGGCACAACCAATGCAATAATTGACCTTTCATATCTGCTCAACTTCCCCAAAACTCTTCCTCTCAGAAGGTGGACAAAAAAAAGATTCTTTTAGATGAAACTCTGAGGAGGAGCTGATAATTGGAGTTCATGTGCGGCTTGAAAAAAATCTGCAGCTTGAAGCAACAAACCTTCCATTTTGGAGAGCACTCCAAGGTTGAACCATGCTTCATGGCTTGTAGGATCCAATCTTACAGCATTCATCAACAAGCTGCGTGCAATTGGAAGTGATTGGTTACCGCATTTCATCAATACTTCTGCTGTTGAGATGATACTCGGAATATAATCAGGATCAACCGATAGAGAGAGAGAGTATGAAACAAGTGCTTCCTTGTATAACGATCGAGCCTCAAAATACTTGCCTGCAATGGTTTTGGTTCAGTTTATAACTTATATTGTAGATATTTGCCAACCATTTCATAACAAAAGATACAATTAAAATGATTGAAAAAAATAGTTCTACCTGTTGTATGCCAACCTCTGGGGCAATGAAGATTTAATGTTCTGGCTTTGTTCAGGCAAATTTCTGCATCCGCCCAGGAAGCAAGTTTTGAATATATGGCAGCCAAATCCTGCCAGGCTGCCCGTTCTAAGGCACGTTCTGCCGCTGCCTGCAAAAGAGAGATTTTAGAAGGTGTTGATCTCTTCCTGATGTGGAAAAGGGTCGCAGGAAAGATTATCAGGGCGTGCCTAACTGTACCATGGAGTGAATACAAACATAATATAGAAACAATTTAGAGTGGGGGCAAAACCTCTAGTTCCAAGTCCTTGGATTGGTTAAGGTTCGTAGCCTGAAGCTGAAGTTCATCTCGTGCTTGAATTAGTGCTAGCAAGATTCTGTAGGTTTCTATTGCTTGCTTTGGCTGTTCCTGAGCAATTTTGAGGACAGCTTTCAATCGAAGAAATTCCAATTGATCCATCCTCTCAGCTTCGTCCAAAGCAAAATCAACTATGGTTTCAGCGTCCTTGAGTCGCCTCTCAGCTGAGAGTATGAGGGTCAAAAGCTTCCAACCTCTTCCGGAACCATCAGCCACCATATTTGAGTACGCCATTGCACTGTAGAAGGCAGCATCAAGATTTCTCTGCACAGCATTTTCCAAGCTAATGTTGAACATTACTTCTGGATCATGCCTCCTACCGAGAGAAGAAACTCTTAGGGAGTTCAATGATTCTTTTTGGAAAAGAGCTCTTTCAGAGTCTGATACAGAAGCTCTTGCTGCATTCCCATAGCAAACACCTAAAAATTTGTGGGATTCAGCATTGAAATGTTTACTGTGTTCACTGGCCATATCGATCATTCTACTAGCACATTTTATTCCATCACGTGCATATTTTGTATCCTCTGAACACAATTTTGCAAGCAACAAAAATGAATGAAAATGGGGCTTCTGCTTTACTTCAGAGGAACCGCAAACTTTCATTAGAAGGTTCAAAGCTGTTTCATTCTGTCCTGCCGCATTGTAACATAGAGCAAGAAAGTACCACCTCTCAGCTCGACTATATATTCCAGGAAGAATCTGCTCCACGTGCTCAGCCAATAATTCAAACTGTCTTGTGATAGAAAGTGCAAAAGTCAGATGATTCATAATCTCTGGATCCCAGTTTATTTCCTGCATCACCACTTTCCTCATGAGTATTAGCAACAAAAGGATTGCTTCTTCTACATTATTTTTAGGTGTTCTTGGACCGAATACATAAAACTTAAGGGGAAGGCTTGCTTCAACACCTCCGTAGAGTAATGTGCCAGCCAATTCTTTCTCTATGGCAGCCAACTTGTTTGGATCTAGATTCCATGGTTTAACAAGGACTCTGCGGTAGGCGTTTATGGCCTCGTCAAGATAACCACCCTTAATCCACAAAGTAGGCAGTAATTCCAAAGCTTTGTGTAACATTTCCTGAAATTTGCAGTCTTCCCCAATAAACTCGGGCATTCCATTAGGCAAAGCTGATTCCACTGTATCAAGAATTATCCTGCATTCTTTCGCAGACTCTGATGAACAAGAAAGAATTATGATCAACAGCACAGTCAGACTGATAACAAGAGAAATTGTAGTATCTATTGCATTGTTCATCTTGCTAACCAATCATAACATAACGCTGTTACAGAACATTGTCTTCAAAATATGACATAAAACTATAGTAAGAAAAGTGAACAAGAGAAATTTACCTATATATCTGCCAAGTTCCTCCAGTGATTTTGCCTTGAGTAGAATTGCTTCAAGTAGTAGGCTAACAGAATGCATGGACAGTACACCAGTAGGGGGGGCACTGTCACCTTTAGGACGAGGTTTTTCCTCTCTTATCTTTTCGGTGATTGCCTTAACCATTCTTGGCGTCAAGGATCTAATGCCTATACCTTGAAATACCTGTAGGGCAGCATCAAAATTTCCTCTTTGATATTCAAGCCTCCCCAGTAAAGCTCTGGCTTCCTAGTTTGAAAGTGGACAGAATGTATCTTATAAGACGATGAGATGAAGCCAAGAAATCAAGAAAAGATGAGCTTATTTGGTCAAAGAGATTTGAAAAGAGAAATGAACGCACCTCGTAGTTTAATGAGAGAGCTTCTTTTAAAGTGGATTCAACTTCATCTACTTGAGAATCTTCAAATTTCAAATCCCAGTCTCCAGTTCTCGAGGAAAGACAACTGGCCGAGAAATCCCTCGTCGCTAGTGACTCCGGGGACTGTGGTGGCTCTTCAAACTTGAATTGCTCTCCTGAACAAGCGCACAGCATCTTTTCCAGGATGGGTTGAGAACTTTGATGGTCTTTGCTAATAATGCGATGAAATTCACTATATCAGGTAATTATTCGAGTTCAATCATGAACGAATTCTAGCGATTCTACAGAGTAATCGACTAAGAAATAAAAACGTTGGGCAAAAAGGGTACTGTTGAGTGGTCTTTGAACTCTAGGATTCGATTTTCGAGTAAAGTAAACTGGAAAAAAGGACCTTTGTTTTGCTTTTACCGTATAGGAAACGGCGAGGACAAATTCGGGAATGAAATAGTGGGAAGACGATGGAGGAATAGAAGCTCAGTAATACAAACTTAGGGGCAAACTGTAATGTTTGATTAATGACAAAGAAGAACAAGACAATAAATGCGGGAAACAAGAAAGAAGATGAAATGGACGACACGAGCAAGAAGACCATCGCATCTTTTTGGACTTATTCCTTCAAAAAAAAAACAAAAAAACAAAAACTCCGTGATTTTGAAATGGAAACACACCAACGTGAGAACTTCCACTCTTTCCCCAGTCTCTTCCTTTCTATTCCGAGCCTGAAGCGATTGGAGCTTCTTCATTCAAGACCATCCATTGCAAAGCATGTGAGATGGTTTTCGAGTTTGAGATCTGAGTCATATGCTGCTACCTTGACATGGCCTTTTCCTTTTCTCTCCTCTTTTTTTGTGTATGATGACATTATTAGTGCAGAAAGGTCTGTCTATGTTGGAAGGGCTTTGTGCCTACAGGGACAGAGCCGCAGATGCCTATGGATTCCCTCAGTTTACTCTCTCTCCATTGGTTTGAGGTTTGATGGGTTCCATTTTTCTTTATTCTTTTCATTGAAAAGTTCGTGGCTTTTTAATTTATTAAAGTAACCCAGATGGCAGAAACTGTAAATTTATTCTCTACATACATTCAGCAGCAAAAACCTCGATTCATGCTATCCGACAATAAGAAATTTGAAAAAAGAACTTGTATAATAGTTTATGATTTGGGGAAATTATAATCACTGACCTAACATCAAACCCCATTAATGATAATCATCATATAAAATAGATCAAGCTTTCACAAAATACTTTAAAAAGCACCAACAATTTCTCACCTATTAGTTTAATTCCAAGTGCCTTCCAAACAGTGGAGCAGCCAACACCAGCCAGAGGATGAACAGCACGTGATATTCCACCTGTCAGATTGAATCGAATGGGCGTAATGAGTAATCCCTGTGCAGCATTAAGAACGAGAATCCAGTAAAAAGATAAATAAATAAAATATCACTTGGGCATTTAAACAAACATCTGGCGTATGCTTAGATTATGGTTGCTAATCACTTTTTGACTAATCTCTGAACTTCCTTCCTTTTCTTACAACTTTTTGTTTCCAGACGTCAAAAAGCACAAATCGATGCACAAACAGTGAAATAGACTGATCACTGCCTAAAATGGCGATTCAAGTTTCGCCCTCATTTCTCCTCCGGTTCAATGCTCCCACTCAATCGGTTTCTTCAGACAGAGCTCCCTGTGGCGAATGGCGATACACAATCAGTTTTGTCAACATTTCGAAAACAAACGAAGATCATTATTAATGCGCACCAAATGGTTTGGGCCGAAAGAAGCGAGAAAGAGAGAAAGAGAGAAAAACCAAGAGAAGTGGGTCTGAGATTTGAAGTTGTCGCTATGCGCCCACATTCTATAAAATGAGCTTCAGTCCAGCGCTCTGTAACTCAGAATCCTTACAGCTTTGAAGAAAACAGAGAGCCCCACAAACCCATTAGTTTTGAACATTAGCTGTCGATGATCGGCGCAGCATCTTCCCCAAATTTGATAGAATTACAATGCACAATGACACGATTGAAGCTTTTGGACCATTGTTGCCAGGAAATTATGGAGGGGGTTATTATTGAGCAAGAATTTATGTTTGTACCGAAAATCTACCACTATAATAATGATTTGGAGGTGGCCCAAGAGGCCTAGCAATCTGCGCTGTCCATCATAGGGGCATAGGAAGGTGGTTGCAATTGCAAGTCCCGCTGACAGTTCACGTGATGGAGCATCAGTTTCAAAGGCTTCACTCACACTTCACTTCGATGCCATTGTAAGAAACAATTGTGACAAAAAAGAGTCGATGGTTTAGACTTCACTTCATTTTAAGTCACTCCATTTTCAATATTCTTGATTTCTTTTGTACATTTCAGAGAAAAGAAAGGTTCGGAAGTTGAAACTGACAACCTTCAACAAAAGTTTCTAATTTGATGGCAGGGAGGATTTAATATTTTAAATGCCTAAATTTGTAAATAAAACTTTAAAGTAATGTTCTAATAATTGACAACTATGCATACCTGTAAGATACCATTCTTTTTCGATTGTTCAATTATAGCTCCAAAATTAAACGTACTTTTCATAGAAAAAATTTCAAACTTTACACTTTTACATTAAAAGTAAGAATAAATAAAATAAGATCTTATAAATAGGTTCAATTATTCTGATTTCATTGAATAACTTACTTGAGTAGTTATTTTCTTTTTTCATTTTTTGACTGAGTAGTTGTATAACTTTAATGCGAAAACTATCTCTCTTAATAGATTTCGAGTTAACATTTTTATTTTTAGATGTATATTACCTTCTATACTAAAAACTTTTCATCCCTAAACTGTTAAAAACAAATTCATACGTCTTCAGCACACATTCTTTAATTAAATTCAGTACAAGAATTATTGATAATATAGTACTAAAATCTTTTATATAAAATATAAAAAAAAATTAAAAATATGTGAGACTAGAGATTTAACCTCCTACCTTCAGTTCAACGTTACAATGACATAACACTTGAAAAACATAGTTTTACAAGATTTTGTTCACTGGGTATTATTAGGTAAAGAATCAAGTGTGTAACGACCAAGCCTCCCAGTGCGATAAAGATTCAGAAGTTTAGAAGCAACCTTGATAGGAGAATCATTGTCAAAACCCATAGGAACGTGCAAAGCTTTGTGCAGAGCAAGCAATTGTGTCTCAATAAGATTTCCCATGCCCTTTTTATCCTCCAAATTACCATCAAAAGTGGAAATGGTCTCAAAGAGAATTCTACGAACATCATTTACAATAATGTCCTGCACGGACAGCCAAGCAAACCATTTTAGCCCAGTGGCATTTTACCTACACTGCCATCAACTTGAAATGTATATAATATAGTATGTTCTTAAGCCTACAGTCGGGCTGTTTATCCCACCGTATTCTCAGATCTCTCACATTGGGAGTTTTACTTCTAAAGGCAAGTTAGTCAAATGTAAGCTAAAAGCTACAAATCAACACATCCTAAGATAAAAACTGACAAGAAGAGTGATCAACTACAGTCTTGTACCAATCTTGCATTGACAAGGACCTAGAAAGTATCCCGCTACTTTCTGCAGCAGATTTTAAATACACCTTCAGGGTAAAGTTTGAGAGAGCGCATAACTTTTTAACTTACCAGTTACTTCTATTACAGATAATAAGCATATCGCTGGTTTGACAGGTAACCTTAAAAATTTTAAATCAATAAGCTACTTTAATAAGGAATGAACTGTTGAGGCTCGCTAATAAAAAAACTTCACAATCTTTATAAGATATATGAGTCAATCCTCTCATTGCCAATTGGTTTTGAGAAGAAACTTCATAGTTATCTAATAGGTATTAGAGTGTACGAAGTTCAAAAGGCATTCGGTCCAAAAAAGAAATTGGATTGACCCTAGAATAAAGAACTAAAAGAGGACAATCTTGAGGGGGGATGTTGAGGATCTCATGCTTCTTGTGGCTAATTCATTTTGAGATGTAACTCCATGTTTATCTAATATCAACCACGTGTCCTCTCTCTAATAATGGAGGGAGACAATGTGAAAAGTAAAGACATCTACGTAGACTTTTAATTGTCAAATAAACATGCATGAATTAGGTTCAGGATACATGCATAATGCTTTTATACCTGCGTATGATCAGACGGATACCCCCTTTTCCGTTTCTCTAAACTTGAGCAAGTTGAACACTCCAACAAGCTGTCCGTGGCAGACAAATTTCCCCACTTCTTATATTTATCACTTGAGTTGATAAGAGTTAAAAGGAACTGTACTAGTACTTGTTCCCCGACTAAAATGTCTCTAATTGCCCCTGCAGTTTGGAGGCAAAACAAAAAGGTAAAGTTTCAAGATTCTCAATCGTCTTCAGTCTCTGAACTAGATTTTAAAAAATGCAATTATGTTTTATCACTTCATATGCATGTTTCAGTATCTTTCAGTGGCCTAAATAATTTATGAAGGAAGATGGATGAATTGGCTACATAATACTATACCTGTTAAAGCAAGCTTGGAACAGACCTCGATGTTGAGAATCTTGGGAGGAAAAATTCCAGGGGTGTCTAATACATAAATATTGGGATGACTAGCTATCTGTAATTCAAAGCAACTTCAAAACGAAATTCAAAATTTTATGCAAAAATGAAATACACATTATCTTTGCTTCTACAAGCAATAGATGATATTCATAACAGTAGTTCGATTTGATATCTTTTCTTGACTACCCACAATTAGAAATTTGTACAATACTACCCCATTTTAAGTCTGGTGCAATCCAAAATATGCTATTGTAAAAATCTGAATGAACATCTCAACAACTGTGTCAGTAACCAGAAGATAGTAAGACAACTTCACAGCCTACTACAATGTTGAGGAGACAAGTGACATACCTTCAAGCTGCTGATATTTTTTGTTTCACCAGGCTGCGGACTCACTATAGCATTCTTCAACTTCCCTTTTTCTGTGAGGTGAGCAGTTCTTCAAAATGTGACAATAGCTATTCTTTGTTATTAGATAAATAACAATCATCATTCATCCAAACAGTTCCAGGATCAACTGCTCTAGAAAACTGAAATTCTGTACAATTTAAGATATGTACCTGCTGCACTAATTCTCCCAATTTGATGCAGAGAGTTGGCAAGGGCCGACTTACCAACATTTGGAATTCCAACAAGCATCATCGTGGTGGCATGACTAGAGTGACCGCTCTTCTTCAATTCTCTAACTCTAGCTTGAAGAAAAGTCAAGAACTGTATGAAGTGAACCATCGTCATTCGGCAATCGCTATTAGACAAAAACAAATAAGTCCATTCAAAAGATTAAACAACTAATGGATTGTCCCACGGAGAGAAAGTATCAATTGCAAAATGGAAAATAGAAATTACCTTTAGTAAGCACTTAATTTTGCATGAAAAACAAGGTTAGAGAAAAAAAAAATGCACATATTGTCAAGACATCTTACCCTTGCTGCCACCATCATTTATAAGCCAGAAAGAAAAAGGAAAATAAGTAGCTCAAACAAGATAGCAAAATGAACACAAAAAGATTACACCTTAGTTCTTTACCTCCCTAATATTCTCTTTATTATGGGAATTAACGCCATAAGAGATGCAGTTGTGGTCTTCAAATAATCGGGTCCAGGCCTATTGATAGAGTGAAGTATAAACATGTGAAAAAATAGATACTGACTGATAAATCATTTTGAATATGATTCAAGTCGTAAATGAATAAATCACCTCATAAATGGTATGTCGATTGATTGGTGTAAAATGTTAGCTAAGTACAAATCTCTTTCATATACTGTATTGTAATTCTTTCTTTTCATAAGAAATAAATAATTATTTCTATCGAAAGAAAATCGCAAGGTCAAGTAAGTGACTGGGGATCCGACTTAAAACCAAAAGGGAAAAAAAAAACTCTTAGATATGTGAAAATCATAACAATGAAAAATTATAAAACCCCTGGGCGATCATTGATTGTAACTTGGACAAACGATAACTTCCATTCCACAGATATTGCATTTGTATCTTATGCTCTTCTCTCCCCCAAATATCCCACAAGATTGTCATTATTGTGTTCATTAAAAAAAAACTAGGAGATAGACATCAGAAGCATATCACATGAAGACTTGAAAGTAACTCCAGGTGTAAAAGCTAAGCTAAAATGACCGATAATCACGGAAGTTACAGAAGTTCCGAACCTCTGTCTGTGATCGATCCGCCAGGTCCGTCTTGTTCAATATAATGATTCGTTTTGATGACGGTAGATAATTTTTCATGAGTTCATATTCAGACGTCTTCGGAATCTGAAAACATAACAAAACAAAGCAATAACACCGAGAGGAATAATCAAATATTTTCAGTGATTCTTTCCCTCCTTCAGAATAATAAACGTAATCGTTCATCTTCGTTACAACTTCATTGTTCGTAAATAATTTTACCGAAGACGAACCGAAACGCCACATATAGGAATAAACAAATCCAGGTTTCCGAAAGGATTGAACCTATAAAGGTAACAAATAGATGTACCAAAGCTACGAATTGAGCAGACATTTCAACGAACACTTGAAATGTCAATACGAAATCAAACAACATGCAATGAAGCGAGTAAAAAATAGTAGGACCCATACCCTAGCATCTCTAACTTCGAGAACAAAATCGACTAGTGGAATTCGTTCGACGACAGCGCGAGAAGCAGCCGCCATGTGAGGATCGTACCATCCGCTGGTGATGCGGCTTCCGATAGCCGCTTCGTTAATAGCCGAACCTATTTTTCTCATCAACGTTGCCGCGTCCATTTAGGCTCCAAAACTTCAAAATCGACGTGTAGACTCGAAAGGTTATTTGGTCTTTCGCGGGTCGAAAGAGAGATCCTCTACGACCGAGTTGAAGTATCCTTTAGATAAATTAGAGAAAATATATTTGAAGTTTATACTTCATTTTAAAAATTCTCTACTTCTTTTAAAAGTTTTATTAATATTTAAACTTAAAAAAAAATCACTTATTTCAATAGAAATGAAAGAAAGGATGATTTCAGACAATTTGAACAACGTAAATACTATATTAAAGCATGGATTAAGATTATATAATTTTAGTTTATTATATATACCTTTAACTTATATAATAATCTACTATACGTATATAAATATCTCCTATATATAATATATATATATATATATATATATATATATATATATATATATATATATATTTCAAAGTAGATAAGATCATTTTTATTATCATTATAAGCTATACTAACCCTTGCCAAACTGTGAATGGGCCGACCTTGTCCACCTGTCGTATTGGTTGTAAACGAACAGATATCATTTTATTCTTTATCAGCTATAATATCAACATTCTAAGTCCGTGTTGAAGTTGCCCTGGTAGGTTAGGTTAGCTTAGCTTGGCTGTCTACCTTTTGTTTATCGAATTGGATAGA